GGGTGGGCTCTTGTCACAGGAGCTTCTCCCCTGTCCTGTGTTAATTGTCCCAGTTTAGCTCTTCTTGGTTGGCTCCTCAGTGTCGGTGTTGTTGGGAGTGAGTTGGGATTGGGGTGCATCTAAGAGAGGGTGAGGAAGTGAGGAATTTGTAGGGGGTGGGAGCAGCCAGCAGTGAGCGTGAGAGCAGGTGCCTCCACACAGGTGGTACAGAAAGGAGTGGGTGTTAGCACAGGTGGGGTAGGATGGAGTCGCTGACAGGCAGGGAGAAGCGTGGGTGTACAGAGGTGTGGATATTGGTGACAGCGCCTGGGTGTCGGGATGTTAATGGATGAAATAATAATAGCTAAGACTTTCTAAGATGTATTATGTACCCATCAGGGTTCTATGCATTTTATGTAAATTTTGTCATTCAGTTTTCACAACCACTCGACAAAATATGTCCTGTTAGTGTCCTTATGTTTTAAGGGGAAGGAACCTTCTTTTGCATAAAGAAGGGAGGGAGCTGTCCAGGATTATCCAGTTTGTAAGGGGTGGGTGGGGCCGGGATTTGAACCCAGGCTGTCTGGCTCCAGAGCCCACACTCTTTGCAGAAAAAAGGCATGAGCATGGGTACATGCAGGGGGCCACATGGATTGCAGGCTTGCAGCAGAGGCTGCTGTGAACAGGCATGCTGTTCAAGGCGAGGCTGGGCAAGCACTGGAGGGCGGTCAGGTGTGGCCTGATCCAGGATGGTGCCGGGCAGTGGCTCTCCACCTTTTTCAGGGAATCTTATTTACCTGAAGGGCTCCAGCGACTCTATATCATTTCTGATTCTGGGAGTCTGGGGTGGGACTCCAGAACTGCATGCATAGCAAACTTCCTGGTGATGCTCATGCTTCTGGTTGGGGGACCAGACTGTGGGAACACTGGTGTAGGCTTAGGCATGGTGATTATGAAGAACAGGAATTGGAGGTTTAGAGGTGAAGACAGAGGTGGGTAGAGTGAGACTAGAACAGAGGATGAATTTGGAAGTAAGGAATGGGCTACGGCAAGAGGAAGATATGAATTGGAGTGAGTGTAGGAATAAGTCCAATTAAATTAATTAAGCAATTAATTTAAATAGTAGAGAAGCCAGTGTGGGGAAGACGATAGGGGAGCCCCAGCTTCAGGTGCAAGACATAGGCAGCACCTGGGACCCCCAGGAGCCTCTATCCTCTTGAGGGCTCTGAGTCCCCATTCTAACCTCCCAGTTGGTGGCCATCAGGTGTGGCCAAGGCCGGCAGATGTCTGGGTATTTTCTCATTGATCTGCAATGGAGCCCATGGGATTCTTTGGGGGAGTTAAACATAAGCTTCAATGGGAAGCTGTTGGGGTGAATCCTGTGCTGGATGGGGTTCTCGGGGCACAAAGGTGATTTCAATCCCTGGGGATGAAGGATGCTTCTCTGTGCACATCAGTTTTCAACTACAAATTACCACTTCAAAACAGGTGACAGGTGGGGCTGGAGGGTCCCTGCGAAAGAGGCCCAGGTAACGTGGGAGAGGTGAGTAGGACTGAAACCTGTCCAGAGAGAGCTTCCTCTCCTTCCTCATCTTAGAGCCTGGCATGGGCTGTTGCTCTGCTGTGTGCCATGAGGGGTTGTTCCTTGATCTAAAAGCAGGAGCCCCCACATCAAAGAAGGAACTAGAAGCTTTTGGAGTGGCCAAGTGTTGAACAACAGGCTCTAGCAAGGACATTCTACCATTGGGTTTCCAGGCCATACCCAGTGCTGACTGAGCCATGGTGGCATTGTGTAAATGACCTGAACCCCCGACCCCCAGCACCCCAGAATTTGATCTTATTTGAAAATAGGGCCTCTGCAGAGGTCATCAATTGAGAACTGCTGCCCACCAAGAGAGGACCGGTCTCCTGATAAAGATGGAAAATTTGGACACGAGAGACAGATGTATACAGAAGGTGGTCAATAAAAACACAGGGAGAAGATAGCCCTCTAAGGCAAGGAATGCCTAAGGCTGCCAGGAACTGGGAGAGAGGCATGGAAGAAGCCCTTAGGAGAAACTGACCTGTCAATGCCTTGATTTTGGACTCGTCACCTCCAAAACAGTGAAATGATAATTTTCTGTTGTTTTAGCCACTCAGCAGACACTAATACGCCATGATGTATGGAAGGGGCCAAACTGATCTTTGCAACTGGATATGGGCAAGTGTCATGACCCAAGGGCTGGGCAGTGGACAGCTTGGAGAGGTGAAGGAGGTGACTTGGTGAATTGAGAAGAGGGCAGTGTGCCCTGGGGCCCAGCCAATGATGGTCCAGGGGTCATTGAGTAATGGCCACTTCTCTGGAAATGGAGAACTGGGGTTGTCTTCCAGGGAGGGCTCTGCTGTGCGTGGGAGAGGCAGGAGGGACCTTCCCTTGGGGCCTGAGGTCCTGGTGCCCTGCTAGCTGCCTGCTTACAGACTCACAAAGCAAGCTGGCAGTGTGCCCAACAAGCACCCACTGTTGGTAGGGGTTTAAAGTCTCCTTTTCTCAGAGATGTGAAGCGGGAAGGGCAAAGAAGGTCGCATCTTTGCGAGAACTCCGAGTTTAGAGGAGCCAGGCATGAATCTCCACAGGGCAACGAATAACCACAAAAACCCTTTTCTTAATCAATTGTACTTTATTTTCAGTTATAAATATTTTCCATTTGTCCCCTATTTACAGTTGCAAAATAGTTTATGATATTAGACCCTCACCCATCATTCGGCATCTTTCTATAAACTCCATGAAAATTGAATAGGAAGTAAAAAGCTCTTTGGGGGGGGTATCCCGCTAACCTGGTTTCCCCAGACTCCAAACAACCCCACGCGGACAGCAGGCGACACTGCAGCTGGTGCTACACAGTAGCAAAGGGTGGGCCGAGGCAGCTCTGGGCAGGTCAGGATGCCAGGCTCCGCAGGACGTTGGTGATGCTCCAGTGCTGGCCCGAGCACTTTTGCAACACCAGCTGGAAGCCGAACTCCATGTCGCTGTTCTCCTGCAGCTCCAGACAGCGCTTGGACTTGCGGTTCTGGATGGGGCCTCCCTAGGAGCCAGGGTGGACAGGAGGGTCAGAGGGCATAGAGACAACTCATAGATAGTCAGGGAGCCCAGTGGCCAGTGGGGGCCAGAGCAGTCTGTGTGGCATGGGGGCCAGCATTCCCATGAGACCTCAGGGTCCCCCGTCTCTGATGTGTTTCTCCTCCCAAAGACTGAACGCGTGCCTCAGTTTCCTCACAGTGCCCTACTTCTGAATTGTGAGGATAGAGACCTCCCTGTCCCAACTTCTGTCTACCTGCCTGGTCTGTGGCCCTCTGGTTTGCTCCTATAGCTCCTACCCTGGGCCTTGGCTCTGTTTTGGAAAACCTAGTTCTTCAGGATCCCCTCACCCCCATCAGCCTGCATTTGAACATCCCCAGAGGCCTGGGTCCTCCTGCTCCTAGGACCTCTGGGGTTATTAGTGCTGGCCTCAACCAAAATCAGGCCCTTGGACACTGTCTTTGAGACCATTAGACTCCCCAGGTTCTGGACATGCATGGTTAACCCTGTTGCTATTGGTGTTTCAGAATGTTCTGTCATCCTAGACACTTAGGATGTCCTGTAGTCCCTAGAAGGAAGTGATGCTGTGCTCCCAGAGTGGCCCTAGAGCAGCAAGGAGGAAATCGCCACCTTCTGTTTGTAGTGACATCCTCGCAGGGCTCGGGCCCTCTGGGGCTGCCAGCTGTGAGCCTGGTGCACCAGCCTGGACTGTCTGAGCACCTCTATTTCCACCAAATTGTGCCCAGCTGGACTTGGCCTCCCCAGTGGGTGGAATTGCTGGGCAGAGGGTGGTCCCGATGAGGGGGCACTGGAGCATATACAGACAAGCTCACCTTCTCCCTGAAACCAACCCCTGTGCATCCCATCTTGGCAATCACCGATATGTATGTGGGAAACCTGGACATGGTTTATCCATCCTCTCCTCAGCATCCAGCTAGGCACCAGTCCTACCAACTCTACCTCGCCTTTATCCTGTGACTGTCCTTAACCCCTCTCCCATCATGCTTGCCTTGGTTCTGGCCACTGTCAACTCTTACCTGAATAACTCATAGCCTCCTGAGAGAGCTCCTTCCAGCTGCCAGAGGTGGGCGGTGGTCATCTCTCTAAAGTGCACGTGTGACCCATAGGACAGGCCCGGCTATGCAGCTTGGCACAGAGTCCCTCCGGGTGTGGTGCTGCATCTCTCTCTAGCCTAGTTTCCGAACCCTCCCCTGCTCCCCCTCTCCTGCTGCATCCATTCCAAGCTCCTCACAGTTTTCTGAACCCATGTCCACTCTGCCAGGGCTCCTGGATTGTGAGCAAGCTGTGCCCGGCCTGGGGTCTGTCTCCATGCTTCCACAGCAGGCTGAGCCATGACCGTTTCAAAGCCCAGTCCCTGCTCGGTCTCCTCCAGAAAGCCTTCCCCACCTCACACCCTGCCCCCTCCTCCTCTAGTCCACCCATCACGCTTGGCACTCTTCATCCCGAGCCTTCTCCACTCACAGTGGGCAGTAGGAGAGGGAAATGGTAAACACTTCTGAAAGGAAGTCATCCCCAGCCAGCCACAGCCATCCCCATGGCAACCTCTGACACCTCAAGAGAATACGAGAGACACTGCCAGTATTATGTCCCCCGTGACCCAACAATCCCATGCTCAGGTTGGTATCTAATAGGAGTGTGTGCACCAAGGACACGGAGAAAAAACTCAAAAGTCTATCAAGAGTAGAAGGAAGCCAGGTGAAATTGGCAATGCCTGCAATTCCAGTAACTTGGGAGACTGAGGTAGGAGGATCAAGTTTGAGGTTAGCCTCAGCAACTTAGCAAGATCTCTAGGAACTTAGATCCTGTCTAAAAAAAAAATATGAAAGGACTGGGGATGTAGGAGGTAGCTAAGTGGAAAAGGGCCTCTAGGTTCAATACTCTCCACCAAAAAAAAAAAAAAAAAAGGAATAAATACCACATGGTATATTCTCATAATGGATTACTATATAGTAATGAAAACAAACTAGAGCTATACTCGGTAAGGATAACTCTCACAAATATAATGTTGAGCAAAAGAAGCCAGATAAAAAAGAATACGTGCATAATTGTGCTTCTGTAAACTTCCTAAAAAGCAAAACAAAACATGGTTTTAAGTCAGGATGGTGGTCCCTTTGGGGAGAAGAGAGAGGGAAGATGATTGGCAGGTGATAAGGGCCAGTGCTTCTGGAGTGCTGGCAATGGGCTATTTCTTGACCTGGCTATTGGTTACCTAGGCCTTTGCCTTGAGCTGAACCTGTATTTTGCACGTTTCTGTACGTATGTGTGTTATTCTTCAATTAACAACATCAAAGCAAAGGCTCCAGCTCCCTCAGGAGGGGTTTGAGAAGCAGGTGAAGGAGGGGGACAGGGAATGAGCAGGTGAAGGAGGCAGAGGGGTGGGGCGTGGGTGCCCGGGATGGGGAGGGAATGTGGCATTCCCAACGTCTAATGTGAGCGATGGCCCAGATCACACGAACCTCTTCTGAAGCGTCCGGGTGAATAAAGACAGTCGCTCTCCCTGCACCCTACACCTGGGGCCTCCCCTGGGAAGAACCGTGACTGACCGCCTCCATGGTAGACAGATGGCAGAACAAAGAGAAGGCTGGACAGTGTGCCCCTCTGGGACCACAGGTGCAGGCTCTGAGAGGGCAGGAGAGGGAGCAGCCATCAAAAAGATGTTGGAGGACCACATCAAGACCACCCCCCTCTCCCATCTGCAGGCTGAATGGCGTCAATGCTCCCATCACGGGGCCACTAATCTCTGCTTGGCACCTCTAGAGAGGAGGAAGAAACCTTCTGAACAAGCACCTTCCTCCCCAGAGGCTCCACGGTTGGGCTAGTCTCCTCCTGCTGACCATCATGGGGCATCCACCAAGGGGCCACAGAGCCTCCTGAGGCCTCCACCCCAGGTCTGCTGCTCTCCCTTTCCCACCTCCCCTCAGTCTTTCCACACGCAGCCTCCCCAGCGCCTTGTGGGACAATGCGTGTAACTTTTCTGGCCCAGGGCAGCCAGGTGCCCTCTCTTGAATGAGTTCCCGTTGTTGGGTGTTGCTCAGGACCGACCTCAGAATAAGGGCCACCTCCTCACTCACACCAGACAGGAAATAGGTTCCTTCAACAGGGCCAAGGGATCGTCACTTTTGGTGGCCACACCTCATCCATGAACATATCTGGGTCAGCCATCGAGGGCACCTTGTTTTCCTTAGAACCTGAGGTCCCCTTAGGGTCCCCAACTGGGTCCCTTACAGGCTGAACTTCTGAAGCCAGAGGAATCCCCTGTGACACTTGCTTCCCTGTGACACTTGCTCCAGCCTATTTGTCTGCCAGCCCAGTTGCCTATGGTTTCCATGTCAATCTGCTGGCCCCAGAGCCTGGGTGCATCTGCCGCCCACACCTGATTGGGCCAGGTCACTGCTGCTTCTTAAGTGGACCTACAGCCAGCCTCCCCACCCCTCCAACACCCTGCCATCCCTGCCGTCTGTCTCACTTGAGGAGGCTGGGAGCAGAGCTCAGGCAGGGTACCCCAAACCAGCCCTGCACTCTAAGTCACATGGCCTGCTGGGATTCAGGCATGAGGCAGAAAATAGGGGTGCCAGGCCAGGACACCCAAGATGTGGCGACTCCTTGCTATCTACTGTGTGCTCCTGACCAAGCCTTGCGGCTATCCGGTTTCACTGTCTGTGAGGCCACAGGATAATTTCTGATGAGAAGCCTGTTGATGAGCTATAAAACAGTAAAGGGACGTGAGGCTGCTCACAGCACCAGCGTGGAGGCTCCAGCAAAAGGGCCCACACACAGAAAGTGGGGCCGGACCAAGCTCTTGGCCACTCTGCTGGGGGTTCTGGCTACTCGGCATGTCCTCAGGGCCCAGGCCAGTCCTTGCCAATAATGAGGCTGCTTCATAGTTTCTGGACCGTAGAAGTTTGGAGAAACTTGTCCAAAACAGAGGAGGCCGCAACCCCCTCGTTCCCCGCCAGCCACTCAGGCACATTCTTAGCCAATGCGCCTGCCTTCATTGGGGGCACCTTGCCAAGGCCCAGAGGAAAGGGGAAGGTTGGGGCAGAGGGCTCTGAGAAGTGAAGTGCCCTTCAGAGGCTCTGACATTTCCCAGGCCCTACCCTGCCCCACCCCCCATGCACCCCAGAGGCAGAAAGCATGTGACCCTAAGGCAGAGACAGCCAGTGTGGCCTCTTGGAAGGATGTACAAGAAAGGGATGGGGCCAAGAGCAGTGAGAGTATCTGGGGCTGTCAGGGAGGCAGTGTAGGAGACCTAGGAAATCTCCCTGCCTGGAGGCAGAGAGAGGAGCACCTTCTGGAATAGGGTGAGCAGTCCTGGAGTGTCCCTTGGGACCACATCTCTGGTAGTGAGAGGGCAGCCAGGCCCCCTTTTGGGCAAGAGCTGCCTTTCTCCTCCGCTCTCCCTATTCTCACTGAACAAAGTCTAAGCTCTCTCCCTCTCTCTGAGCAGATCCCATTTGCCAAAATTGCAAAGAAGTCTTCTTTTCCTGCAATCAATGCCCTCCAGGCAAGCTGGGCATCTTAGGAGCAGCCTGGCATTGCTACCGTCTGCACCTGTCCCCGCTGGCTCTGTGTTGGAGATAAAAGTAATAACCACTGGTGCTTAGTTACTATCTGCCTAGCCCGGATCCCAGAGCCTCCCCTGCTGAGCCTCCCGCATTCCTCATAAGAACCCCGAGAGATGGAGACAGTAAGAATCTCCGATTTACAGGACTGGAGACTTCGGCTCAGGAAGGTGGGAGACTTGCCCAGCCTACGGTGGCACAGCCAGAGTGGGAGTCCAGGGTGTCTTCCCCTTCCCTGTTCCTCACCAGGACAAGGGACCAGCCCCACACCCCATGCTCAGCAGTCATGGGGTAGAATGAGGGAGCTGGTGGTACCCACCTGGGTGGAGGAAGCTCCTAATGAGCTTCCGGGGGCTCTGGGGACTACTGGTTTGCTTCCTTTGATGGCTCTCCTTCCAGCCACCTGGAAAATATTGAATGAGTGTCTCCCATGCACCAGGCTCATTCGGGGCTGCTGTGGTGCACTGGACGACGGGAAAAGATCTTTGCTTTTGTGGAGGAGGCTGTCCTCCAGGAGGGAAAGCAGGTGATATATTCCATGGTGTGGTAGGAGGTGAGGCTGTGCACAAGATTGCAGAGCCAGGAAGGGCATTCAGGAGTGCTGGGGAGCAGGGGCGGGCTGCCATTGCAAGAGGGGTCAGGTGAGGGGGTCAAGCAAAGAATATGCTGGAGAAGGGGAGGGACCCTGGGGACTTGCTGGGAGGTGCATTCCCATACCAGCAGGAGCCTGAGTATTCAGGGAGCTCTAGGTGTGCAGGAGCAGAGTGGGCACAGGTAAGGAGATGAGATCCTAGAGGTGAGTGAGGTGGGGCTGGGTGGCATGGCCTCATGGGCCACTGAGCAGACTGTGGCTTTGAATCTGAATGACAGCGCTGGCCAAAGCAGGCCTGTTAACCAGGTTACTCTGGGTGCTGTGTTGGGCTAGAGCGCTGGAGGGAGGAAGGAAGCAGGTGCACCTGTTGGCAGAGCTCCAGGCCCAGCCCCCAGCCTCTGGACCAGTCCCACAGCTCTGAGCCTGGGGTTGGGGGCAGAGGCCCGCCTGCCCCTCTCTCTGGGCAGGGCCTGCTGCCTGGTTTACTAGTCCATTTGTCTAAAGCATTTGTGTAATACTTACAACTACAGGATCTGGAAACACAATACTTTTAATTAAAGAATTTAAATAAGGGCAATTAAACCTGGCAGGAGAGAAACCGCTGCACACAGAGAGCTTAATTGGAATGGAAACCAAATTAAATATGGAAGCAGCAGTAAAAAAAAAAAAAAAAAAAAAAAAAGGAAGTAGAATGTATAGAATTAAGAAGGCTAATAATAATTCCTAGACATGGATTCCCAGCCCCCAGCCTTGTTCCTCCTCCTACTGGCCTCTCTGGAGTAGTTACTGCAAAGGACCTGAACAGAAACAAAGAACACAAAATTTTTTCCTGGCCTTGGTCATGTGGCCCAGGAGTTGCTGGGCCTCTCTGGATTTCTATCTTCTCATTTGCAGAAGGAGACAGAGCAGTCTAGGACACTCTGTGTCTCAGCAAAGCACACTGACTGTGCACATTGAGGCATGAGGAAGCCAAAGTCCATGAGCCCCTTGGGCATGGAGGGGCAGATCCCAGATTATTACGCAACCAAGCAACTCCCTGCCTCAGTTTCCCCAAGTATGTATCAGTAATGGCTATGTGTGAGCCGGCGAGCACCAAACTAGTCCTGTCCCTCATTGGATAAAAGCTGGGTAAACAGAGCCTGGCGTTAGAGTCGCCTGGGGGTTTGTGAAACTAGACTGATTCAGTTGGTCTGAGTTGAGGTCTGAAAATGTGCCTTTAAAGTTCTCAGATTCTGTTGCACTGGTGGTACTGGCCTAGGGGTTCCCTTTCGGGGCCCCCCCGGGGGCCAGGTTCTTTTTTCGGGAAGTTCTTGGGCCCGTTCTTTTCCCTTGTCCCTTGGGGGAGGTTTCCGGGGCTTGGGGGTTGGGTTCGGTTGTTTTCCGTGGCATTCAGGTTGTTTTTAGGAGGTTGTTTTTTTTCTTGCTTCTTGGTTGTTGCGGCTTCTCCACCTGATTCGGAGCTCCCCCTCCACCTTCCTTGCTAATTAATTTTCCTCGGGCAAGCAGCCCTGTGGGTCTTTGGCTTTAAGCTCAATGAGCTCAGAAGTTTCCAGGTTAAGTAGTTAATGATTAGTAATCAAATACTTTAAAGCAGGGGTGGGATGTTAGGGCTAGTTAAAGAAACCCTAAGATTAAGTCTTTTTTGTAGAGTAAAGTGGTCTTTCTTTATGATGAATATTCAATACCCGGTTTATTCAATAAGCACTTGGGTGTTTTCTTACTTAAAGGGGACTCAGGTGAGTCCCTAAGTGAGATTCTAGATTCTGCCTTAGACTTGCAGGCTGGAGATGGGTGCAAAAGAATAGGTACAGAGTGGACATGGAGAGGATGGGATGGCCAGGGAGAGTCTGAGGGATCCAGCCAGATCACACACCCAGACACTAACTTGGCAGGGAGACCTCAACCCCAAGCTCCCATTGCAGAAACCAACTGGCTTTCTAGAGTGAGACAATGCCTCCATAGTAGGACGGTCTAAAGCACAAATGCCAGAGTCAGAATTTCCAGGTCTGACTTTCGACAAACTACTTAATCTCTCTGTGCCCCAATGTCCTCATCTGTGAAGTGGGGATACGTTTACTAAGGGCCTTATAGTACTGCCCTGGCTTTTAAGGTAATATTTACAAAATGGAGTAGTACCTGGCACACAGTACACACCGCATAAATATTTGATCAATAAATTTTTAAAAACCCATTCAGTTCTAGGAGCAGGGAGCTGAGCATCTGGTCCCTTCGCTAATCCCTGATCTCGGTAGGAAGAGGAGGAGACAGAGGGAAGTGCTCACGGCCATAAACTGAAGATAACTAAGAAAACATTCAGGGCCCACACAAAACATTGCCAGTCCTTCAACGCTGGACAATAGCACACTTGCCCCTCCGAATGACATGGAAATTAAAAGCAGTTTTATTCCAGAGCCATAACGCAATACTCCATTCGAGTCTTTTCTTTTCAGCACAAAAGGTTCTGG